AACTGATGTGTAAGTGTGGGTAAACGAGGCGCGAATTGGGCTTGATTTTTTCCAGCAGGGCGAGAACAGAAGGGATGAACGAGAAGCGTGGATAGGCGGAGAAAAAAAGGGGGTGAGAGAGATTAATTACTGTCATGCACTGAATGGATGCACCTGTGGCCTCGAAGCAAGCTTCATCTTTTTTTTTTTTTTTTTTTATCGGGTGCTCCAGGAAATTAACCTTCCCTGCTTGCCGTTTGAATTCTCGAGTTTTTACGGCTCTTTATACGTCGCTTTTCCCCCTTTTTCCTTCATTTGTGTGTCTGTGTGCGAGGTATAACAACGATTGAAATAGACACTCACTTTCCTGTTTGATATTCTTCTAATTGCAACCTTCTTCTCTTTCGTTAGTCTTCATTAAAGAAAATAATTATTAAATGCACAAATTAATTGAGTGCCTTCAATGAAGGAGAAAGTTGAACATTCAATTATCAATAACACTTCAAGTGTGTAAAGTATAAGATAATAATTTGTACATTTAATTTAGGGGTAATTGTATGAAATAATTTTGTTTTAACAGTAGAAGAAAATTTGTGAGAATAAATAAAAATAAAAAAAAGGATAACAGCTGGATGATAAAAATTCTCAGGTTACACGTTCTCAAGAAAAACCATCCACTTTGTGCAGTCTCTTGAACGTTGTACGTACAAGTCGTACCCTTCGTAGCCTTCTTTTCTTGTCAAAGCAGAGAACATTCTTCCGCCTCTGTGTGACGCGAGCCGTAAACCGTATACCTTCGCTACAACACCTTATCACTCTTCAATAATTCGAAGATAAGCGTCGTTATAACTCCTCGAGCTGTTCAGTCTTGCGTAAAAAGGGTTCGCGATCACTCCTTTTTGCTCAAAGAAAAATATTAATATCAGTTTCCTGTTTTAAACTGCTGGCGAATAGAAACAAAATTGAACTATAACGTAAGCTCATTTTATTCTTTAACGAGTGCAACGATGCACCGACCTAAGTGCAAGTGCACTGTGGTTCTAGATGCACTTTACCTTTTCATATAAGATGTACAGCTAAAGGAAAGACTTATGCTTTATGAAAAGAGGTACGTAATTCTATGACCAGAAGGATCCTTCAGTTCATTAGATGAAAGATGAACTACGTCATTGATTGCAGAAGTGTTAATTGCTGTAAGATGTTAGCCAACTTTTCTATGGTAAACTTCTTCGTTTCTCGAGAGAAACTTGTACAGTTATAACTCCTCTACACTGTTTGAATTAAATTGAACCGAAATGGAAATTCAGTATTTAATAATTGAAACTTGACATTTGTAAAATTCTAATAAATAATTTTTGTAGCAGAGCAATATAAAAGTGAAAAATTTGAAACATGTTTTAATTAATAAATATTTTATTCAGTAGTGGTACAATTGTTGAAAGTTATCGTTAAATCGTTCATATAATTTGCAACAGTCTAGTATTTCATATAATTGAAAGTTTAATTAGTCGAATGTTTGTTAAGGTTTGAAATATGCGAAAAAATTCCTCTATTTTTAATGCTTGAAAATGGTCTTAAAACTGGGGAGGCTGACTAGAAGCAGCCCTTAATAAATTTTACGACACGGAAACTTGCTCGCCGAGTCAAGATAATAATTAATTTCCCGGCGTATTTTCCAACGAGAATATCCCTTTATGTGGGTTAAACGTAGATTTAATTATATTATATTAAAACTACTATATACCTTTAATATCGTCGCCATGATATCCCGTGAATGGTAATTTAATTTCTCTCACAAAGGTATGAAAATTATAATATCCATTCATGCTGTACCAGCCACCCCTCCCGCTTTCTCACCCCCCCTTTTCGTACCTTTGACAACGAGCAATTGCGTTTGCTCGGCTGTTTCGTTGATAAAAATATCAAGTAGTATTTTCTCTCCGATCTGAACGTTAATCAAACGATCATTCCGATGTAATTTTAACACCATCCCTTAATTTAACTTTAAATGAACATCGAATAATTACAGTATACTTCTGGACTATTAGGACATAGACTTTTCCCTAAAACATAGTTTCACCTATTTCATCGACAAAGTGTTAAGAATTCATCCTACACAGAAGGGTGGCTTTACAGTTGACCACCCTTCGACCTCCTCTTTTACGATTGGGTAACAACGAATCCTCGGTAGGGGGTGTTCCAGTGTGGCAGCCTGTACACGTTGTATTCATGATATGTAACTATGGAAAAGGAGTCAATGTCGCGAAAGGATCGTAGGTGAATCGTGAGTGTGTTTGTAAGCGTTATAGTGTACGGTACGGGCAATGTAGGGACAAGAGAGGCGATATATAATGTTCCGCGATATTAAACGGGACGCATTCCACCGAAGCCACCCTATGGTCTCTGCTATGAATGCTTCTACGACCCCCATCTCCTGTCTCACCCTTCTGTCCCCACCCGACGCGACCACCCACCGAAGCTGCCAGACCTGGCCTACTCGACCAGGGCTACCCCCGAATGGTTATACGCCAAATTTACAGCTCAGCCAGAACCACCACTACCCGCAAACGCGCCATTTACCGTACCCCAGCACCTCTGGCAACCGCTCCGGATACGACGCTCTATGGATACGTTTGCTCAAGGATAAAGCTGATCCGAAAGATTCACGGCTGTCGTCGATACAGTAAGAACTATTTGCTTTTTTAGCACTGCCAAAATATACTTAATACTCAGATAAATAAGAAGTAATTATAGATTTATCATTCCGAAGGGTTAATACACTTTATGAACAAACTGTATCCACCGTCCCTTTGATCGACCCCCGTCTTCGCAGCCAGACACGTCCGGAATCGTCGCAGACGAAACGAAAAGGAGGCAAGAAATTTAGTTATGTAGGGGGCACGATCCGTGTGTCGGCGGACAAGGACGCGTCCCGGGGTCTCCCGTGACCGGCAGTAGCCACGACATTCCAAAATGCTTTCCACCCTCCCTATGCTCGAGTTCCTGCGCCGTATCACGGCTGACCCGGCCATTCCCTATCCTTCATCCGCGCATTTCCATCCCTCTACCGGGCAACCCCCGTCGAGCGGTGGGCACACACCGAATGCAACCATGCGTCATCCGCCATGATCTATGCTTTCTGCCGCGCTGGCATTACGCTTGCCCTGCACACGCGATCGCGCGCGTTACCTATGTGCACGCACGCATTTACATAAGGACGTATACACTAGCCCCGTACGATACAGTCGGGGTCAAAAGTGAACTGTGTACGGGTACGTATCGAATTCATGATTCAAGGGTGGAGGGTGTTTCCTTTGGTGTTTGCTAAGGGGATGATGCGGTAAGAGCACTTAGGTGACCCTTTTCTTGGATGTAGGACAGCTAAATCCGAGGATGTACAATATGTTTGGATTGGTTGTTAGGACTTGCCACCACTTGCGAGAAAGTTATTGCGGATGATCCCTCTGGTGGGAAGTGTGGGAACTAACTGGCCTGTGGTTTTAGCTTATTCTTGGGATAAGGATAAGATACATCTGTATGGTCCTTGGCTTCCCTTCAATTAAGGACATAATTATTATCCTGAGGTTTTCCCTAAGTTCTCCCAAAATCGAAAGCAAATGGAAGGAGAATCCTCCCTTTATCCTTAGCTTTAATTAAAGGAAGTTTATATTATACCTCAGTGTATGGTCATATGGAACTTAGTTAAAGGAAGGTGTAGAGAATGAAGCAATTTAATCAAAGCAATTTTTGACTGCGACTGTATATGAATTCAGTGATTATACACGCATCGACGGAGACATATCGCACTCGTGTGTATACCTCCCTTTATCTCCCTCTCTCTTGTTGGCTCAGCTCGTGTCTCTATTAAAGCTACGCTCATTTTCAGCAGTCTGCATATTGTGTCCGCACACAACCCCTACCCACTGACAAACACGAATATTCAGTGAGCGGCCCACCGCTGACCAGCCGTTCTCGCGTTAACCCTTTTGCCTGTTATGTCGGCTCGTTGCAAAAGCCTTTGGGTATTTTTTTTTATCATTGACATTTATCCATTAATTTACTGGCTGATCTGTGCCTAATAGATGAAGAATTCTAAAATGAATAACAAGGATGTAGACCTCTTACAGGGAATTATCAAACGGCTACTGTACATATTAAGGAATCATAGACAGATTCACCCCTCTGACACGACTGTTAAATCTTTCTCACCAACATACTCCGAATACTTTGAAGATTCTCTCGAACTGGCCTCGAAGATTAGAATCTTCCAAGTGGCTAATTGACACGTATCTGTATTAACAAGCGTGTCGTTGGATCGATCCCGTTGTTGCGAGTCAGTGTTTTCGGAGATTAGAGGATCGCGTGGAACGCGACAGGATGCAGAGTTTCTCCTGCATTCGGTGGTATCCGGTATTGCGGTCGGAAGCGAGGGGCAGAAGGGTTCATCCGGGGGCTTAACGTACACACTCCACCCCCGGTAGGCGGAGTGTACCGCCTACGAGCAACCCCCACTTCTAGCTACGGCACTGATACGCGATATCAGCGAACACTTGTTGCTCCAGCGTATAGAGATTCTGAGTTGGCCGCGCCAACGAGCGTGCCCGTGCCGCGTTTTGCTCACGATTTTTCATCCGCTGATTTTTCCACCTCCTCTCGTCACTCATCAACCACCCTCTCCACTCTTTCTCTCTCTCTCTCTCTCTCTATCTCTGTTTGCATCATCTTTCTACCACTATGAATTTTCGCGCGCCCCTATAACGCCTGTCTGGCGGCGGCAACGATATTCCAGGCTCGAAAACGAGCCAGCCGCGGATTCCATCGCGTGGACCAGCTTCGAGTTGGAGAAATGCAGCTGCGCGGTTGTAAATCTTCTCTTCCGGTGTTTATCGAATTTCTAAACGAGAAGCAACTACTTCATTGATTGTATATATACATATATACATATATATTTGTTGTCGATGAATCGAACAGGGAAGACAGGTGGTTTATGGTAATGCAGTGGATCTGTTTAATTGTTACAGGCAGTGCGGTGGCTGCAGCCGACACCATTTCCGCGCCGTGGACTCCAGCGAGTTCCGGGCCGCCGCCCGACGCGAACGGCTCCGGCTCGGATACCAAGAACCTCGACGTTGGCGAAATTAGCGATGTAAGTTTTTATTTAAATAACAATTCAATACCTACCGGATGAGCGGAGTTACTCGTTTCTTTATCAAGTAGAAGCTGTTGATGTTACATACTTATACAATTCTGTAGTTTTCTCAGAAAATTTCAAACAACATTCTTGCTTTATTATTAGAACAGCGATTAATGGATTCTTGGCTAATTGCTAATGATTACCAGTGGTAATGATTGGTGATTAATGATAGTTGATAGCTAATATATAATTATTAGCAATTTTTTCACATATGAATACGTGTGAAAAACTTTGCTGATTAATTTATTAATAAAATGCAACAGAGTTAATAAACTTGGTAAGAAGAATTTTGATTTCACCTTGCTTGATATTTTACAGGACGAAAAAGACTTATCGGCAGCAGACGCGGAGGGTGTATGGTCACCGGATATCGAACAGAGCTTCCAGGAAGCTCTCACTATATACCCACCATGTGGTCGACGCAAAATCATCCTGTCCGACGAAGGGAAGATGTACGGTAAGTCGAACAATTACCTAGCAAATCTCCTTTCCATATTTTTATGGGGAAATTGAAATCATTCGGAAAGAGATACATCACCCTGTTTCAATAGAAAATACTTGATGATCTAAATATCAAACCACTTAGTTATTTGATTAATTATTTATTTGAATTAAAGTGACTTTTTTATACTCAGACTTTTGCGAGTGAAGTTGTTTAAATTTTAATTAATTTTCAAGAGAAAGTCATTTCAAAGGGTAGAGTAATAACATTTGAAAAGGAGCTTCGCTTCTTATTCAGATAGGGTAACGGTGGAAAAGTGGTTTGTGTTCTCTTTAAAAGAGCTCTCTACACAGTTCTCAAATAATATCCTCGCGAAGGGAAAAGGATCGTTGCACGAAGGATCCTGCAGAGGTCCTTGTGCTTCGCGTACCCCGATGGTAGAAATGTCCGGACGGTCGTCGTTATTGCTCGATGCTGAGGTCAGTCTACGTGACCGAGCAGATATTGCCTGCTACGACCACCGCTACCACCGTAGTCACCACCATTAACCACCATGAGTTCTCTGCTCAGGCAATAATGCCACGCCTCGAAAGATACCCCCTTTAACCGGTATCTTTTTACCAATATACTTTCCTTCCTCTTTAATATTTTTTTCTTTTGGCTGATGCATATAGAAGGGTTGAATCATTCAGTTCAAAATTTTTAAATTTACTCTTAGCATCATCGAAATATCAAAAAAAAAATCTTCCTAGAAGAGCTATTTATCTAACCCTTTGCACAGCTCAAATTTAATTATTCCTTCAATAGTTTCTATTTATTTCGTTTGAAAAGAACAATTAAAGGATTCCAAGTCTTGGTGATTCTTGGATACCCCAGATTTTTCAGTTGGTTGCAGGTTTGAATCCTATTCGTTAGGTCACAATGTCGCTTAATTTTCGAAAGCACACGGCCAAAGCTGTCCCTGCCTGGGTGGCAATTCAATCTTGACCCATGAAAACGAAGCTTAATTCGAGTCAGCCTCGCTCTCGGCGAGCTTGCGTACGAAAACAAGAAGAACGACAATCGACAAAGCCTGTGTCATCGTTTCACGAATACTTTTCAATTTCAACATCCAGAATTCTTTCTATTTTGTTCGAAAAATACCAACGAATTCTTTGAAAATTATGTATTTAAGTTAAATTGCAAAGTGGAAGTCGTGAAATTTCAAGATCGATTCGGCAGTGTCTACGGGGACGAGGAAACGTCTCGACGTCCGTTCAACGGATGGAAACAAAGGATAACGAGGCGCGAAAATCGCTTAACGCGATTGGCCATCGATCCTATGGGAAACTTATCTTTCCCGTTGTTCACTCGCCGAGCCAATAAAGGATCCCTCGGCTTTTCTACGGGATTAAATATCTCGGGGCAATTTACCTCCTTCGACCTGCTCTTCCCTGTGAGGCTTTCTCGCCCTCTCCTCCTTGTTCTTCTTTTTCCATCAAGATCGACGACTCCCACACTGAGATTTCTCCACAAAAGAGCAATCGTTTCTCTGACGGCAGAGAAACATTCTGAGAAAAGAATGCTCTTGCCTCTCTTTTTCTTTTCCACCCCCTTTTCTTTCATTTGCGAATCGATCGATTTGTTCTTGAAACTTGCACATTTCTCTTCGTTTTTCCCCTTTAGTTTTAGAGTCAAAGTTAACCCTTTATGCACTTACGCACATTTTTCTCAAAAATATGGTTGGTTTCTTCTTGGATGTATAAATAGTAATCACTAGAGGAAATACCTTCGAGGAAAGCATTCATTTGCATAAACATTCGCGGTGTAGATTTACCAGGACGACGCTGGATCCTTTTTCGTTCAAGCTTTTTCGAGGTCTTTCGACAAAGCGAAAAGAAACGGTTCTTCTTCGTCGTAGGGTTGAGCATCCAATAAACTGGTAAAAATAAAAGGATGTACGTCCTCTGGAGCATGGCAGAACGTTTACTAGAAGAGAAAAAGTCTGTAGCTGCGGTCTAAGAACGTTTCCAAGCTTCTGCACCGACGTGTAACTTCTTTCACCTGGGTCAATGTTCTGCAACGAACCCTGTAACTAACATTTCTTGCAAATTTTTCTTCGCTCCAATCTTGCATTCGCTTCTTTTCACTTGACGTGATCTCAACTTTGCCAAATAATAATCAACCGTAAAGTATGTCGATGCAATGATAAAAAGAAAGTTGGGAAACTTGAGATTGAAAATTAGATAAAGAAGTGAGAATTATAAAAATTGGAGAATTATCATCTACGAGAAACTTACAAACAATTATTTATTTGAATGAATTACGAATAGAGATTATCGTGCAACGTATCTTTAAGTTCACGTGTCGACTCATAGCGTTCAAACTACAGGCAGGAAATGATTTCACGGCAACTTTATTTGAAACTTTCACGCGCAGGCGAGAGGAAGTGAGCGAACGGCAAAGATCAGGTAGCTAACCGCCTCGAGACCTATATAAACATATAAATCGTGAACTCACCTGATCTTTCCCGTAGGCTGTCAGTACCTCTTATACAGTGTGTTCAATTCGCACTGAAATTGCATTAAATTAAGTTTTCATAATCAAACTTTGATAATTATAAAAAGAAGAAAATTGTGAGAAGGATGGTCGATCAATTTCTTGTGCCACTTTGTTCTACCAAAATAATAATGAATTTTGAAATTTACAAATTTCAGTTTCAAAATTAATTTGATAATATAAATGAAATTGAAAATTTAGCGAAAAATAGTGAATCAAAGTGAACTGATAATTCCTGTATTTCTCTACTGTTTCATTTATTTTCTAATTAGCTGAAATTCAATCATTTTCCTTTGAGAGCATCCAGTGAATCCATGTTCAAAGACACGCCAGAATGGTGTTTATCTGATCGCCGATAACACGCAGAGACATCTGTTACGAGCGTCCTCTGAAATCTGATGTATCCTGGTTTATGGGTCATCGAGTTGATCCACTCGACGAAATCGTAACACAGTGGATGCTGTGATTCGCTGGGATTCCGATTCGCCGGGATCATTTCTGAATGACGATCACCGATCCTTTGTCACAAGATAGCCTTGTAACGGAATATTTGGAAATGATAAAACACCAAAATCCGTCAACAATAATTGAAAATAATTACAATTTTCCATAGATAGTACTTTTCCAATACATGGAAGTCTTATGAGTTGCTAATTTTTAATTCTGGGTTAAGATTGTTCCAGCATCCATCTTTCAATTATTTATTCATTCCTGATTTCTTAGAACACAAAATTTGTTCTTGTTCTTTGTAAAATAGAAATTGCATTTTTAAAAATTCTGCTTCATAACTCGTACGATTCTCCGTAGAGTGTAAAGTCTTCTTCGGAGACAAAATCCTATTCCATTTCCGTTTCCGTTGAAGGCAGAGGAGACAAGCAGACAATGAGAAAGAGGAAGAGAGGGAAATAAGACAGAGAGGGAATAAGGGAGCACGAATGTGGTATGGAACAAGGTTGTGTCGAGGGTGGAGGAGGCAGTGTCCAGTTATTGACCGGCGGAAGGAGAGTGTCTCAGCCGTCTCCAACGCTTTCCCTTGCAATTCTCAAACCATCCGCTAGACAAGCGATATTTTCATGGCCATTATTTAAACAAACAAAAATGGGGAACCAGTAGTCAAAGAAATCAGTTGGGTTAATTAAATACTGACCGCCGAGGAAGTATCTTCGACTATCTTCCTTTTTTAAGAAAGTAAAAATATTTTTGAAGTGTTCAATTGTAATTTGCTCCTTCGGGCATATGGTAATTATGATAGGAAAAAATGTTGTTATTGTTTAGCGATAATTCATTGGTTAGATAGAACAAAATTGTGAAGAATTTCGTAGGATAAAATGATTCGAAAGCGTTTCGTTGGCAATTTCGATCGGTCTTTCATCTTTCTGAGATGCGATGCCACCCTCGGATCCCTAAGGGTTTTCGTCCAGTCGTAAGGACGTCCACTCTACTCTTTTTCGGTGCAGGACAACGATCGACGAGACTCTTCCTTCCTCGATATCCGATCCAATAATCCGATGCCGAGACGTCGTTGAAGCGTGAAATTATGGCCATTGACACGGTACCATGGATTCTTCTCTTGGGAGATCGGCATTCAGGTTGAAAAGACGCGAAACAAGTCGCAAAAAAAGATGAAACTGTCTTCTCGAATCGGTCATAACTAACGATACAATCGACACGGGTATTACATATTTTTATATTTTCAAATTCACGATATTAACTTTTAATTATTATACAGTTTCGTGTTGAGATTCGAAGAACGTGTCTTTGAAAATTATTTTTCAAAAAACCTATGAACTTTTTCTAATAAATTCTTCTTCAATTTAAAAGGTCCTTTTGATCATTTTCTTTTGCAAAAATATGGACCCTCAGTGTCCATCAGAAGAGATTTCGAATAAAATTTTCTATCGTCCTTTTATCAGTAAATTGTATAACAAAGAAATGGAGAGAAAATTGCGTGGGAGGAGGAAGAAATACAGAGAAAAAGGGCACATAGAGAGGCACATACGCAGAGGCAGAAGGATAAGAGGACGAGGGATGTAATAATCTGCGTCCGCATTGTCCGTCTTGCCAGCATGGCCGAGTCCTTTGACATCTCGTGGAGTTTAATTAAACTTGAGCGTATAATAGCTCCCCGTCGAGAAGGCGAGTCGAGGTCCAACGTTGTCGTTGTCCGACGCCTGCTACCGAAGCGTCGCGTCTAACATTTCGACGCCAGCCACCGCTACCATCCTCGTCGTCTTCCTCTTCCTCCTCCACCTTCACCTCGTCGTTTTGTCCCTTGCCAAACACGTGACATCCGTCCTATGCGAAAACCACTTTGACGATGTTATTGTATCATCCTCCAGACTGCATGTTCAACCTTTGAACCTTAGGTTACGAGTTTGACGTAGCGCCACTGGATAATTTCCTCCTCAAATATTTCTGATAAACGTTTATACCTAACTTCTGCTTTACAACACGGAATTTACTCGTCTCCCAATGTG